CTCATGCATGCAAACAGGTGCGCAGCAAACTGGCGACAAGCGCCCACTCAGAACTCAGAGATATGGTAACCGAGTACACAGTTCATATACAAGTTGACTTCAATGGCTATGGCGACTCAGCGCCCACACAACTCACTGTTCGCACACACAGGATCACCCTGGATATCCCACACACGGTACTCTGAACACACACACACTCACACGCTAAGCTCTAACTACAGCTATGGCGGCTATGGCCGCTGCTACCTTATCGCTATGGCTAGGCTTCTTCTCTCCCGCCCATTTCGTCCTCGGGCTCACTGCAGACCACCTCACACAAGTCGCTTGTGGCAGCGCTTCCGCATGGCTCACGCAGGAATGAATGAATGGCTGGGCGCTGCCTCTAGATTTATACTTCTGCAGCTCGTTGGTCTGGCCCCTTTCCCATGCACGTAGTGCACACAGTCCCATGCGGTACTTGCTTGACTGGACCAGGACTGACTAGGACTGGGACTGCTGACGCAGCACCGGTAGACTCCACCACTTGCCTCACCACTTGCCCACTTGCCCTAGCCTAAATGTGGGCAACTTTGAAAGGCCACTACTCGGACGTTCCGGAAGGCTGTAGACTTGGCCTTTCGATACTGTAGCATCTACAACCTTGACCTTTCTGGACTGTAGCAGCTACGACCTTGACCCTTCGAGAAAGCTATAGCTACGACTTCTAGACCTGACTGAGACTCCTACTTGACAGGTCTACAGATCGAACCCCTGCTACCTATGGACCCTACGACAACCTGCCAACTGTTACAAATACACAGGTCACTGGTTCAACTCTAGGGGTCGACACAGATACTGTACACAGGTAAGGTGGGGACTAGGGATCGAGCCCTAGGATCTGCATCGGCTACTGCGAACTGGTGAATACCGTTTCACTCCCGCCGGCCTAAATTCGAGGTCCTCCGATGAGTTACTACGACGAATCTATCCAACCAAGGCCTAAACAAATCATTCATACATCGCTGAAATGTAGTTGGCGCATTGGTTAGTCCAAAGGGCATGACTATGAAGTCATAATCCCATATCTCGTCCGGAACGCAATCTTGTACTGGTCATCAGGATGGACCTCTATATGATGATACCCGGACTTCAAGTCTATCTTTGAGAAATACCTGCAACCCTGCACCCGATCTAAAAGATCGTCTATCCTGGGCAGTGGTTCAGCATTCTTAACCGTAATAGCGTTCAGACCCCTATAGTTTATACACATACGTAGCTCTCCTTCCTTCTTGGGGACAAACAAAACTGGTG